CTCTTAACTACTATAGTAATCTAATAAGCATATAAATTAAACCTTATAGAATATGCAGAGAAAAATAGAACTTTTTAAATACTATGTAGAGATTACTATTAGAATAGGATATTCTCTAACGTAGCGTAATATATAAGAAATTACTATTACTATAGTGCTTATACTTTAAGGTTAAAGAGATAGAGCCTATTATAGCTCTTACTAGTAGCAGATTAGTACTAGTCTTAAATTTCTATAGACTTTATAATAAACTTACTATAAGCTAACTTAGCTATACTATAATATCTTCTTATTATTATAGACTATCTTTCTAAGTATATCTAATTAGAAGCTATAGTAATAATAAGAGCTAAAGAATACGCAGAGCGTTTTAGAGATATATAGTAGCAATTCTATAGCTTCTCTATAAGCATTATAATAGACTAAGAGTTAGACTAGCTAGAGAAATTCTAAAGTATACTCTATAAGCTTATAAATATTTAGCAGCTCTTCTTAACTGCTTATTATTCTTAGATAGATAGAAGTATAGAGAGAGCTAACTAAGAGGTTTAATTAGTTCTAAGAGTAATAATTAACTTTTTTTAAATAAACTAGCCTTAATATCTTGCAGCTTACTAGCTTACTCTTAATAATAAAGACTCTACTATTACTAGAATAAGTTTAAACCTCTTACTAAACAGCTATACCTTATTACCTATTTAGAAACTAGATAACTCTCTGCCTTTAACTATAACTCTAAAAGGTAGAGCAGTTTAGTTTATAGAATATCTATAAAATAGAATAGTAATAGCTTAAGCTGCTATTGCCTTTATATAATAATAGTAGCAGAAAGCTATAAACTGCTTATAAAGGCTAGCAGAATAATTCTAGGTTAGAGATAAAGTATAGTTTTTAATGCATAATATAAAAACAATGCAGAAAAGTAGAAAACTAAACTAGCTATAGGCTAAATATATAGTAACAGCAGTTTCTATATCTTTAACTATTATACTAGACTTACTAGGCAGACTATATAAAACTATCTATATAGATTTAGTAGAATGAGCAGAAAATAACTCTCTATCTAGCTAAGTTCTTAAAGATACTAGACTAGAGCTAGCCTTAGAGTTAGAAGAAAAGAATAAAGTACTGCAGAAATAGAAAGTAGAAAAAATTTTATAAGAAAAGAATATAAGAGAGTAAAATAAAAAGCAAGTCTTAGTAAAATAGAAAGGCTAGCTTAAACTAATATAGTATCTAAAGAAAGACTTCTTAGATATAAAAGCTTTATAAAAATTTACTGCTATAATATTACTAAAATTATAATAAAGTAGATAGATAATTTAAGCTTAAAGATAAGTATTATTTAGTTAAGCTCTAAAGAGTAACTAGCTTAGAGCTAGCTAAAGTGCATAAGGCATCTAGAGTTTAAGATAAGCTACTCTAAGTTCTTCTTATTAAATATCTTCTTAGAAGTAGAGCAGGTCTTCTTTAGACCTAGAATAGAATAACTAAGGCTATGCTTAATATTAGCAATAAAATAAAAACCTCTAACTAACTAGCAAATAGATTAGTATTAGTTTCTAAATTAGTAATAGATAGAGAAAACTTACTTAGTAAGTCTTACGCAGCTTTTTAATAATATACTCTTAGCTAATAGTAAGGCAGATATTAGTCTTACTAAGAAACTAGAAAACTAGTATTAGAGCAGTAGCATTACCTTTACGCTTAGAGAGAATACTAAAGCTAATAAGAGTAGTAGATAGAGCTAAACTGCTACTAGCAGATACTATAGTAATAGTAGTTAGAGCCTAGGCATAGAAATTCTTATAGTTATAGTAAGTAGCATAGAACTATAAATAATTAGTAATATTACTAGAATAGCTATAGACTAGCGCTAACTTATATCTACTAAGAACTTAGGCTACGTCTTTCCTTTACTGCGCATAAAGCACTCTAAGTTCTCTATATTAGTAATCTGCTTATACTTCTTAAGAGTAGCGCGCAGAGCTAAGTTACTAGTAAGTAGCTCTAATTTAGTCTTATACTAGGCCTTACTTTTATAGTAAGTAGCATAGCTACTATAGATAGTCTAAAGGTAGTTAATCTAGCTCTAGCTTATATAAGCATTAATATAAAGATAGTAGTTATATTAGACTTAGATTAGTATTAAAGCTTTATTAGAAGAATTATCTAAGATAAGTATGCTGCTAGCAAGGCAGAGAGGTTTCTTCTTCTTATACTTAAGAGTAATAAGCTAATTAGTATTAGCTAAGCTCTAAATAGAAATTAAGTTAGAAACGTATAGGCATAGAGCATAGACTATTACTAGCTATACTACTAGTAATCTTAATAAAAAAGAGAAGGCTTATAGTAGAAAAGAAGCTAGTCTAGACGCAGATAAGCGCTAAGTTAGAATATAGTTAGGTAGTAGAGAGGATAAGAAAGAGTATAAGGTAGCGCTAAATAAAACTTTATAAATTAGTAGCCTAAGCGCGCTAAGCGCATATAGCTTATAATAATAATAATAATACTAGCCTTACTTTAGCGTATAATAAACTTAGTATAAGAATAATAAAACGCTAATAGATATGCGCATTATATAACAATAGGCTTAAGAGTAGAGTAGAAAGGTATATTAAGATATAGGCTACGCCTATACTTAAGAACTTTTCTGTTAGCGCCTTAAGCCTAATTAGTTAGCAAGAAGGATATATATAAGCAGTAAATAGAGACCTTCTTAATAAGAAATATAACTTTATTTAGTACTACATAAATTCTATTCTTATAGGCTAGCCTATAACAAACTATTATATTAAAACTAGTTATATATCGCCTATAGGTCGTGCTATGCTATAGAAGATGCTAACTATTAGCATTTATTAGTGCCTAAAAGCTAGCTTATAACAAATATATATTACTTCTTTATTAAAGATAAGGTGCTTAAAGTCTTAGCTTAACTAAGATTTCTAAAACTTAAGAGAAGAAGTTAGCTATATTCTTAGTAGTAAAAGAAATAGCTATATCTTAATTAGGCTTCGTAGACATATCGTTCTCAATACGATGTACAGGCTCTGATCACAGAGGGAAGTTGTTAACTGATATTGCTTGGTCTGCGAACGATGTAGTTCAACAGCTTAGGCTTTCGATCACAAGCCTTGAGAAAATCTGTATCCTGGTAACGAGTCTAGTTGGTCGCTTCTGCGCCTGCTATCTCGCATAGGACTGGACATGGCTTGAGTCCAATTTCCTCAAAATAGGTAGCTGCGTTGACACCTGTGCTGGAAGCAGACGTTATGTTGATGAGGTGAATGCAAAGAAGAATAAAGAGTGGACGCAAAAACATGGCTCGCTGGATGGTTGAATGAATTTCCACTGAGAGAGCCACAAGGTTTGCTTAGGGAGCTGTTTGAGCGAATGTATGATCGGTCAAGAGTTGGAAGACAAAAACGTAGTGTATGTATACATGGTGTGATGCTATGTCTGCCACACCAGTAGTATACCTTCACGGGATTTTGTGTCTTGCCTGACGTGAGCTCAATTTGTCTGGTTTATCGAGCACAGATCATATCTCCTCCATCCTAGCCTATCTTGATAGGTCTCTGGATTGACATATGTTCTCGGGTAGCACCATTGAAGTAGCCTGGGGCGTAAAAACGTCTCTATAAGCTTGG